CGTCACCGGCGAAGCCAACCGACGGACGCCGATGGTGTCCGTGCTTACGTCCGGAGTCCGTTTCAACATGTTTATGTTGTGCGTCCGGCGTCCATGTTGTGTGTGTCGTCGTTCTCTTACCGTACGTCCAGCGGTTTTGTATGCCGCACTGCTGTGTAATTGTTTTTCATCGCGTACGTTCGACGTTACCACGGCATATCGAGTCCGTTCGTTGTTATTATCGCAATGCTGTGCACTATTTATTAGTTACGTCCGATTTGGCAGTTATCTGGACAGTGCACCGAGCGGTATAGTGCGTCTGATTATCACGTGGTTTTGCTCATGTCCGAGAGCGACCGGTACGAATCCAGTGATATAGTGATATAGTGATATATATAAGCGATGTCTTCGAGCATCCGTCGTCGTCGAACCTTTACAGTCGCACACGGAAATAACCAGTGTTGTAAAAAATACTTTTAAAAAGTATTTAAGTAATTACTCAAATACTTATAAAATAAAGCATTTAAAATACCACCCAAATACTATCTATAGTAAAGTATTTGACATAATTTTCAAATACAAAACAAAAAAATCAATTTAATTCTGAATCATTCATAATATATTAATATATGTATAATATTAATCGAAAATTTGTGTGTTGCATTTTAAGAACATAATTTGTTCGAAATGCTTATCAGTCATAGGTATTAGTTCTTTTTTTGGTGATTGTTGCACCACCAACACTAAACACTCTCTCTACTGACGCACTGCTAGGTAGGTAGTAGGTACCGATAATGTACCGTTGCGAATTGCGATCGTCGTCGACGATAAACAGACGGTTTCTCGGAGTAAAACATATTTAGTTAGTTTATTATAATATATGTTTTATTGTATTAATTGACAATATTTTAGCTGCGAGTGTCAGCCTGTTTCACTGCACCTTAACGATCGGTGGAAAACGACGAACTAACTTACATACGATATCGCGATCGCGTAGCAACGATACCACAATCAAGTCTTATCTATGGTTTATCCCAAACATACACCCTCCTTGAACTACAGTTTCAAATAACGATATGATAAAAAAAAAATTCATTAATTTTATACATAAATAATAGTATAAAAATAATAATAGTATACAGAATAAATAATAATTTTAGCATGACACCGCCAGTATAAAATAAAAAATATATATTTTTTTTACATATTTTAATTTTCCTGTTGAGTTTATCCTGGTAATGGACACACCAATCTAACTGCCTTTTTCTTTATACCGCCACGCGTATTTACCTCCACAACTCTTGTCACACCGTCCTGTCCTGGATGTAATGCCGTAACTCGTCCCATGTTCCACTGGAGAGGTGGCACATTTGTCTCCTTAATCAACACCATTGTTCCAACCCTAATACCGTAAAAGCGGGATACTTTGCTCCAAATGTATTACTTTTTAAGTTTAAACCTATATTATAGCTTCAATAACAAAGATAAAAATTACCAGTTCGTGTTGTTTTATATGTATATGTTACGGTGAATGATGTAAACGTGGTAAAAGACGTCATTCCCCGGTAAATGACATCATTTACCTAAAAATTGGYAAACGTTGTAAATKCAGACATTCTCCGGTTATTGTCGTCAATCACCAGTTTAATTGRAGAATGATGTTTAAAAAAAATTTCAAAGCTTGATGTCGGTACAACTGTTCGTGTCCCAATATTAGATGTTGATAGAGCACGTGGTKCTCCGCGTAATTTACTTGCTGTTATTATTTCATGTGAAGATGACATGTATAAATTATGTAAGGTAATTTTAATTTGATAATGTTTATTTAATTTAAATTAAATAAATACCCGAATGTTTGAACCAGGTACAGAATATGGGGTGTTGAAACACAAATATACACGAGCACAAATTTCTCCGTGTAAAGAAAAATTTCTAGAGCTAGATGAAGCCATGAAAAAA